TGCACGGGGAGCTGCCGACCTGCGACCGCTGGCGGGAGGACTACGAGGCCTGCCGGGCCTGGGAGCGGGACCGCGCCGCCAGCGCGCAGGTACCGCCCGCCCGGGGCTCTGCAGGCCGGGGCCGGTGGGAGAAACCCCGCGGCTGCCTGTGGTCGCGCTGTGGTGTCGGGGAGGGCTGGGAAAGCGGGGTGTGCTCGGGGTGCAGGTGGGCGGGGCGGTCTGAACGCCCAGCAGGAGTATTTTCAGTGTTGTGCTGTAGAAGTGGATGATTTTAGTTACACCAAAAGGTGCCGTGTTGCTGGGAAAATGTATTCCCGGGGTGTCCAGAAACGCTTCTGGCTACAGCCCCATGAGAGCCCTTCAGCCCCCCTGGACAACTGGTGGGGAAGGTAGTGCAGAAAAGTCAGTTTCTTCATAATGGAGGAGTCAGAGGCAAACTACAAGTGTGACAGTTAAAAGCATTCATCCTGGCTTCCTTAGATAGCACTTAGCAGCTGTATTTATGTATGATAAATTTTTGTTCCTTGTTTTATCTCAAGCAGTCACAGCAGGAAATAAGATCTGTAAGACTTGAGCCTCCAACACTATCATGGTAATATTTTTTTCCCCCTGAATTCCAGGAAACTCTGTGCAAGAGTGAAAGAGCTCGGGTTATGGAAAAACAGAAATATGCTCCAGTGTGGACATTCAGGAAGAGCCCACCACCTGACTGGTACCTTCCACTTGACCAAGACAAATCAAATTAGCAAGACTGTGATGTTGCAGACCCTGAAACTGCAACCACTCTCCCTTGGTGGTGTGTGTCAATGGCAGTATCCAAAATTACTATAAAAATAAAGGTTTAAATGACTGGAGAGAGATGTGTTTGGTTTTAGGGCAAACCCTTAGAAAGTTAGCAACAATACTTACATGGCAACAGTCAGCTGCTGCCTCCCTTACAGTACAGACTGATGTGATGGCTGTGACATTCTTTCCTCATAACGTAGGAATCTTCCAAGTTAAAGTTAATGCAGAAGAAAAAACTGGGAATGTATGGAGGGATGTGAAATACAAGCCCAGAAAGATTAAATACTCTGTGAAATATTACTTCTTTGTTTTAACATAGCACAAGAGTCAGGTAGTGTAGTTTTGGTGGGTGGTTTACTACCTAGGTAGCTGTTTAAAAATTCCAAACAGGTACTTCATTAATACGTTTTTTACAGTCACTCACCTACAGTATTTTAACCTACAGAAGGAACTGTTTATTCTGATTCCATTTTTTCCTCCTTCAGTCAGCTGAGTAGCACCAAATGAACAACAAACTCCATCACTGGGTGTACACTTTGGTGATATCCACACATTTTCCTTCAGGAGGATCATAACCAGGGAGTGGTGGGGTATAATCAGGTCCATCCCTCTCAAAGGGGAAGAGCCCCTCATCTCGTCTGATCGCTGCCTGATACAGCTCCTCGGATTCCAGGCGCAGTTCCCTCAGTGCCTCTTGCTGTGCTTCCACAAGGGCCTGAATTGCTTTCTTCTCTGCCTCATCTTGTTTCTGCTTAAACAAACACCACTTTTTCAGAAGTAAAACTCGTCTTTCAGTCTCCTCAAATGACAGGGGGGGAAGACTTCGCACCCTGATAAAGAATAAGATCACACTGTTAGTGAGAAACAGCCTGCACCCCTAAGAGGAAATTAAAATGATACAGCACCAACCTAAGAACACCCCACCAAACCCAGAGAATGCATTTCATTCATGCAAAATCTGAGGTTTTCCATAACAGGAAATTAATGGTACTGACTTATTTTTCACTTTTAGAAGGAGCAAATAAAACGTGTTTTCCACGTTTTAGTTCCAGCAGAAGCAGATGAAGTTTTGTTCCAAGGCTGGCACTACACTGTGGTTTTGCAGAGAAAGAAATTTGAAGTGTTTCTACCATGAATGCAAGCACATGGAGAAAGACAGTCTTCCTTACCTGTTGCTGTCTGAATACTTCAGTGGTGCTACAAAATCCTCTATTGGAATCAGTTCTGGAGCAGCTTTTTCCAACTTTTTAATTTTCTTTTTCATACGATCCTTCTGTGCTTGCTCTCTCTTTACATCCACTTTCTTCTTCTTCTTTGGTTGTGCTCTACAATCGAAAGAATTGTGAATGAACTTAGTTATTTTTTCATTTAATCCAACACTAGCAACTTTTATTTCCACTTTTCTAAGGACTGTTCCTTCCCTTTGCTTGATTAGGTCCCCAAGAGATGTTCCAGCCATTAGCTTTACTGAAGTAATGTAATTTCCAGGGGACAGTAATATGTTTTGAGATACTCTGCAGAGTGACCTGTACCTAACTGAGAAAAGCAACCTCCAATTTTGTGCTGAACATCACAATGACCTGAGGATGCTCCACAAATACTGAACTGGAATTGTGTTGCACTGGCTCAGAGCACAGCAGAGCAGGCAACATGTTTATCTGCAGATATTCCTGTCATCTCACATTAAAAGAGTGAGTGGTTTTACACATGTATTTAAAATATTCACATTTGGAAGCAGGTTCAGAGTGTGGATGTTACTCTCCTATTGTATTTCTCCACAGATCCAGTATAACCAGGGTAACTTATGGCACAGGCTCCACAAAGACAAACTAACCCTCACAGGGGACCTGTGGCATCTCATCCCTGCCTTACTATTTTAAATCTAGTTGTGTTGCAACAAAACATTGTCTGGTCTACAACTGTACTATAAAGTTCAAAATGGAATTCTGGAGCACAGCTTAAATCCAAACATCTCCAACCATGTTCTGTGGTTGAGGAGGCAAAACAAGCTCCACACAAGCATAAGAAAGTAATTGTACAGGTTACCATTAAACTCTCCTCAGGAGGCAAACAGTTCTTAACTGCTTTAACACGGAGTGACTTAAAAGCAAACATCTATTGTGAAAAGCAAGTTTGGACCTGGGAAAATCTGCATTCCCCTAAGAACAAAAACATCAGGATATTAAGCCCATGGCAGCTGCACTGACCTGACCGGGAGCGAAGCCCTGGACGCCAACACCGACCCCGCCCAGTGACACCCTCGGGATGGAGCCGCCTGAGGCAGCCAAGAGCTGAAGAAGGAAAAGGAATATACAGCATGAGGAGAAACTGATGTTAATGGCATTGCTTATGCAAAACACGAGGGCTATTTACTAGTCATCAACGACGAGTTTCAAATAATCTCTGGGTACTTAATTCATGACAGCAGACAGTGCTTGCCAGAGGTGATGAGCTCAAAGTTCAGTGAGGTAACTAAACCCCAGGCCTGGGCTGTTCAGTGCTGTGAATCCACAAGGTACCGAGGGGTGAAACAGGTCAATTTTAAGTCTATCGATAAGTTAGAGTAATTTTATTGGTAAGTTCCGACAACGGCCTCTTTGAATTACTCATTTTGGA